AAGAATTTATAGTAGAGTATTGGGCTATTTATTATTTTGATCTTTCATGTGAATGTGAGGGCTGGATGTAACGTGTGTTATTTTCTCCCAGTAAGTCATACAGAAATTTTACTAATTGTTCTAGCCTCCTAGCTCATTGACCTCTTGTCTCACTAGGGCTACTGAGGGCTGTATGTGAGAGGGGAAACAATCTTTTTCCTCCAGTAGGATTTTTTTTTAATTGTATTTTAATAAATTACAGTTCTCACTAGGGTGTTTGTGTAATACATTCAGATGTGTGTAGATTTTATGGAATAAAGTTAGGGAAGTGTTAATGATTCAGCTGATGGTACTACCAATTAATGGGGAAGAACTAAGTGATCAGTAATCCGTGTGCTGCTGGAGAAAAGTCTTTTTGCCCTTTCACTTGTGCTGTTTCCTGTCCTAACCAGTTGCAGTGTTTAGCTATGAATAGAAAGATTCCACCCTGTAAGCAAACTGTACTTCAGGAGAAGAGTTGACTATAGCGACCTGTTCTTGGAAGACCCTAAGACACGTTAGAATTCTTCAGGATAAATTGTTGTACAAGCTTAAGGTTGTTAATATGGTAGAGTTAGTGGGTAAACAAATGCATAAATGTTCTGAAAGAACAAATGCATACAAACTCAAATGAACAAAATGTGGTGGCCTTGGTCTGCATTAAAGCCTTGAAATTCCTTCAATTTTATTGGGGAAAAAAGCCTCACAGATTGATTAGACTCAATGTTATTAAAATATTTTAAAGTAATTTGCCAGATAACTGGCTAGTTTTTAGCTATGCTTTGTACAATTGGTCTAAGACATTTCTAAAGTTACTTTTCACAGACTCAGCATCTTTTACATTTCCAAACATTGCTGGAAACCTGTTTCTTTCAAAGCTTCTATGTTAGCTTTGAAGTCTGTGCAATGAATTGCTTAGAGAACTGAGCTGAAGACAATTCCAAATTTTTACAGCTATTTGATAACTACTTCGTCTTGTATATAATGATGACTTAATGAACCATTTCAGCTTTCCTGATTAACGTGTATGTTTTCTTCCTTACAGTACCACTGTGATCCAAAACGTGAACAAAGCTCAAGTCAAGATCAGAGTTAAAAAAGACAATGTAGCAGGTGACTCCTTTCCAGACTATGAGTATTTCAACTCTTAAGGGAATTGTGGGAGGAGACTCTGAAATACACAGGAATGTATCCAAACACTGTCTCCTCTTCTCTATCTGTTTTATTCATCTAACAGCAGGAACACTTGTAATTTGCTGTTTTTTTCACATACAGCATGTAGTTTTTAAATTTATTTATTTACCTCTGATTAAATGAGTGTGCGTAAACTGCAGTTCAATTCCTAGATCTTCGGACAAAGCATAACTTCCATAGATATTTACTGAAAAATAGATCAGGAAATTAAGTATCAAAAATCAAATAAGTTTCAGGAAATTAAATATCAATAATTGTCTATGAAGAAAACAAAAACGATAAATCAGGATTGAATGCTTAAAATATTCCTTAAGCACAAGGAATACATTACTAAACAGAAACATAATGAAACCAAACACTGAATAAACCTGAATACTTTCCTGACTTTTTCATATGTCTAGATCTCTGTGATCTCAATACAATTCTGAAGTTCCATGTTAGGATGTCAGAACCAGCATGACTTAATGGTTCCAAGCTATACAGAAAGGTTTTGGAAACAAAGCTTCTGAGCTTACGTACTGTATTAGAAGCAACTAGGGTAAAAGTGAGTTGCACTTTATTATTATCTATAACCCTTTATGTCTCTTGCACACATTCTTGTTCTTTTTTGTCAGGTGTAACCTTGCCAGTTTTTGAGCATTACCAGGAAGGAGGGGACAGTAAGTACAAATCAAATATTTTCTCTCTTACATGTACTTACAGCTATTCTATGCTAATACAAAAATACTTGTCATGTCATGTCTTCCTCTTTAAGTCAGTTTACATCATAGGCATAGGTGTACTTACTTCCTCTATGATGCTTTGTCCTGGTCCTGTGATATGGAGAGATTATTAGGGACTATAGTGGATTTCAATTTCCTAAATCAATGAGTTGTTCAGACGAGAAGGCTTGTCTTGAATTACCAGGTTTTGAGACTCGTAGGTCTTACTGCGGACATGCACAATGATCTGTAGTAAGAGAAACCATTATAAAGACAATTTGTTAATGGGCAAAAGCTTTAGCTTGTCACTTGCTGAGCTGTCTGCATCCCTGTAGTTTGTAAAGTACTAATTTTTATATGGTAAGAAAACACCGTAGCAGCAATAGCAACAAATATTATTTGATTTTTTTTTTTTTTCTTCTTCAGGCTATGAACTGACTGGCTTAGCCAGAGGTGGAGAACAGCTGGCTAAGCTGAAGAGGAACTATGCCAAAGCTGTGGAGCTGCTTGTGGAACTGGCCTCCTTACAGGTTGGTGGGAGTTAAAAAAGAAGGGGATAGTTAGTTTCTCACTGTTCTGAAATGAAAGTAACGTAGTCTCAGTGATTGCAGCTTAATACCTTGAGCTGTACTGTACTCTTTCAGTCCCAGTGCTGTACAAAGTTGCAAACCTTTTCCAGCCATGAAACAGAGCTATATTACTGCTTCAAAGAAGTCCTTATTCCTTCATCCTAAGAAGAAACTTTCTTTGGGGATTTGGTATTTGGAACTGCTAATGTGCAGTGTTCAGTGTGCTACTGACATCAGTAGAAAAAATTCTGCTTCTATCAAGAATGTAGTCTGCAAAGCTGCATTATAGACTTGGCTTTGGCTTGCAAGTGCTGGTTGTTTTTGTGTATAGAATTGATGGAGATGCTGAATTTGTCTTAGTATGTATTAATTATTTAATCCCATTCCATCAGACATCCTTTGTTACTTTGGATGAAGCCATTAAAATAACAAACAGACGAGTGAATGCAATTGAACACGGTGAGTATTTTTCCATTTGGGATGCATAATATTTTCCTGTCTCCTTGCAAGATGAGGAGCAGGTTCATGAAAGCCACTCTTCTTTTGACTGCTTTCTTGTTAGTAGGATTTCTAACCAGTTCAAGAACTCTTCAGAAAGCATTACAATGAAGCATATTGCAAGTAAGAACAAAAATTAAAAGCCCAGTGGAATGGACTGGAGTACGCAGAGATAAATGAATATGCAATCATGAGAAAGTAATCAGGAAGTTGTATTGAGAACCTATAGAACAGAGATTTCACAAACACATCCTGGCGCCTCTGCTAGTGACTTAGACTTACTTGGTCAAGTCTGTTGACTAGAAACAAAAGACAGGATGTTTCTATGTATTAATGTGTTCTAACAGCTAGCATAACAACTTCTAAAACTGTAATGGCAGTGTCCAGTGGAGAGCTGGTGACTTTTTGTTTAGTTTGGATGGGATTGCAGACAAGGGATCTAGAGAGAAATCCTGGTAACCTGCTCAGGTTTGTATTACAGGAAATGGAACGGTCCTAATGTCAATACTCTGGTATTTCTCTTTCATATGAATTCCTTATCCTTCATGTTCTCGTTTGTAAATTTATTTCTCACAGTTTCTTAAGTACTACCTATGCACAATATTGCTGTGATTCCTTTTGCTGCAGTATCCAGGGTGCTTTGATTATTTCAAGTTCCTTTCTGAGTTGTTGGTAGCTCAGATTTAATCATCTTTGCACATATGCAATAACTTACTTCACTACATGATTCTAAACTGTCCTTTTCAGTACTGTTTTTCATAGACTTGTTCCTTTGAATATGCACGCCTTATCTGCAGCTTATCACTTTAAAAATTTGACTGCAGAAAAAGGTTTCCTCTGCAGCTTTCCAAATAACTTTTGTAGTGCTGGTAACAGCTTTCTCCTTTCAAAAAGTGATTGACACATAGCTTGCCCAGTTGGGTGTTAAAGCTTTGTTTAATACCTTACCTCTTCCCTTGTGATGGTGTTATAGTTGAATATTTGCTTTCATGATGGCTTTTTCAAACAGAGATCATAATTCTGTGAGTAAAATGCTATATTGAATGGAAGTTTCTGAAAAAAATGTGATGGAAGAACACAGTTGTAATTCAAATCTTGCTCACCTCTTGCAGGTTTTTTTTTAACCACTTCCATGGGGAAAAAGAACTTTATGAACAATCAGGGATCAGTGCTTACCAATTCCGTTGCCTCTTTCAAAAGAACGTGCTATGGGAGATTCTGTGATGTTCAGAGTCCTAGTTTAGTCCTGGACTTACTGAAGAAAACAGTTTTGTGTACTTGTCCATAATGAAGTAGTATGATCTTCCATGAAAGATATGTAAATTTCCCCTAGCCAAAAGAATTACTAGACCTACTTTAAACAACCATCTGTGCACTGCGTTAGTTGACTTCCTGTCTAACATAACAGTAGCCCAATAACTTCCTTATTTCTATTTTTTTTTTTAGTGATTATTCCCAGGATCGAGCATACTCTTTCTTACATCGTTACAGAACTGGATGAACGAGAACGAGAGGAATTCTACAGGTAAGTATCTAAAATAAGACTAGACCATTCCTCAGAAGGGACTTACGAGAAGTATTCACCAAATCCAGCAGGAAACACTGCTAAACATAACCTGGTTCTTACTGCACACTGAGTTTCCAGAGCTGGGCACTTGGAGATCTGCAATTACTTGACTGAAATTTACAAATTAATCCCTACCACGAGGTTGTATGTAGCTGTCGTTATCATTCTTCCGGAGGGAGTGATGGGATACAGTACACTGAGGTACTTTATGGCAAAGGTGTCCTTAAAGGTCAGTGTTCTGGGCTTCCTGAAGCAAAAATGTCAAACCTGAAATGAACTAAAGGAGAATTAACTTCCTTAAAGAAAAGCAGAGTAGTATAATGCAGTGTTTACAAGAATGTAATTTAAAATTTGGATGGAGAAATTAGTTAATCTGCAGAGATGAAGTTTTTCAATGGCAGCAGCTAGCAATAAAAGCCTTTTGATATTTGTTACAGGATTTTCACTTCCTGGGGAACTTCTTCAGGCAGGTTTATCACACCCAAGTTCTACAGCATCTTTGCTGCTAGTCCATTTCATGAAAACAGATTTGTTTCACAGATAAACTACGTTTTTCTTCACAGGTTAAAGAAAATCCAGGAAAAGAAAAAAGTATTGAAAGAAAAATCTGAGAAAGATCGGGAGCTGTGGAGGGCTGCTGGTGGGGAACGTGAACCAGCCAATCTCTTAGCAGAAGAGAAGGATGAAGACCTTCTCTTTGAGTAACCCAGCACAGTTGTATATGGAGCCAGGGACCCAGAATACAGAATGTCCATTTGCAATATCATTCAGGACATGTTGCCTCAATGATACTTATGTGGCTTCTCCGTTGGTGTGTAAGTCTTGAGTTGAATGGACTGTGGATTTCTCCTGGGAGATTAGAAATCTGGGAACTTGACTGCAGCATAGGAGGAAAAGGAGGTATGATTCAGGTGCTTTACTATCAGGAAAGCTTTCTATTGCATGTTCAGCCTGTTTCTTCACTTAGTAGGAGTGACTGTCCATAGCTGTGGTTTTTGCCTCATCAGATTCCTCTTTAATTGCTCCCCTGCCTAGTGCAAGCAGAGGAAAATGTTATTTAGGGAGGGAGATGCATGTAATTACTGCTGAACTGCTAATGATGTTCAAGTTGCTTAAAGCAGGTCTTGGCACAGCTGAAGTCAAATGTCAGTAAAGGCAACTCCAGTTTTCTAACGTGTTGATGAAATCCACAGTCTTCTGTGATTTATTTCTGTTGCACGATTGTTACCATTGGCCTAAAACATCTATGGTTTTAATTAGAGGTTCTGCCAACTTGTGTACTGTCTGTGCTAAAAACAAGTAAAAATTTTAGGTGTTAAGTATCTGGTGTCTGGCTCAATTTGCTAGGTGGTGCTGGTCTTAACAGCTTGTCATGTTGATTTAAAAATAAAACCTTCACTTCATCCCATACCCCCAACTTAGAATCTGCACTGGCACATCTATTTTCAGCCTGTGCCCATGTTGACTTAACCTTTACTGCTTTGGGTAAGTAATCAAGGAGAAGCGGCTCCCTCCTGACACAAACACCCAGCTACGTGTTGCTCCAGATCTTCATTGCAACCAGTAGGATGGCCAGCAAAGCAGGGCTGAATGTACAGTAGTCCCTCCTTGCTGTGATTCTCCATGTCCTTTGCTGATTAGGGGTGCCTAGGAGAGTGGCTGATAAGAGAGGCCATCACTGAATGCTGCTCAGTCTGAAGCGCTGTTTTCCTAAAGACATTGGTTCGCAATTGGCAAACTGAACACACACCATAGCAGTAATACTAGTATGTTGTCTCTAGTACTACTAGTCTCTTCAAGGTAAGCATCTTGTTTTAAACATGATCCAGCACTTAACTGCAGATGCAGGGTAAGTGCAAGGAAATTAATTCCTATTAAGACCTTTAAAAAGTAATTTTATAATTGTATGAAACACAAGGCCATTTCTTTTCTCTTCTGAAGCTGAAGGCAGCACAGCTGAATAGTAAGTCCATACTCTGTTGTAAGATACAGGTTCAGCTTGAAAGAGACATCTGTAGATCTGAGGACATGTGGTTACCTCTCCCACTGGACGCATGGTGTCAGAAGGAACAGAGAACATCCTCTACGGTGCTGATGGGTCACAGCATCTTTCACACATTCAGCAAAATGGCAGAAAGAAGACTCCCAAGATCCACTACAAGAAGTAAAATTGTACAGTGATTTATTTTAAATCTAGAAATATTTTACATTTTTACATTAGTGTGCAGTTCATGATGTCTCAAAATACAGAGTGCAGATACATGTATAAAAGTACAATGCGGGGCTAACCACAGGTCTCAGTAAAGTTACCTTAATTATTTAAGGCATTAAACCCCCATCTTACATTTTAAAAAGTCACATATAATTACATTCAACAATTCTTTTATGCAATTCAGCTAATATTTATTTTTAATTAAATCTGGACTGGTAAAAATGCAGATACCCTTGTTTCAGTCTGATACAGCTCACTACAAAGCCTGTGATAAGGTTGAAGGGTCTCACCAGTGAAGTTTGCATAGTCTCTTTTCCTCTCAAGGGAATTAACACACATTCTTCGTTAAAGAAGGCAGAATAATTTCTTACACCAGGTAGTTCCAGGACCAAACTGGCAGCAGATGGACAGCCAGGTAGCTAACACTGGTTATAAACCACCATAGCACCTCTCTACATGGATGTCAGGAAGTACTGTGTGCCTTAGGAATTAAGAGATTAGAGCTGAACTTCAAGCCACATTCTTAAGTCTACATTCAAAAGCTTATTTGTATAAAACTGGCTTCTGTACACCACTTCAGAAAAACTGGGAGACAAACAATAGTCAAATACATTAATGGCATGATTTACTGTGACTGATGCCATCTATGAACACTGAATACCTAAGGGGGTTCAGCAACCATCTTGAGCTGATTGTGACTGCAAGAATTTGGACAGTACCTACGTAGCTGAGCTAGGTTGCCCTTAATGAACACATTTTACTCCTTTCCACCTTCTTGTCCAACTACGAAACTGTCAATACCAAACGGCCTAATACATCTACAATCATCTTTCTTAAAAAAGGGTAGAATTGAAACAATATTTTGTCATCTATGACTATCCAATATACCTGAACATTGTAGTTGTCATAAACTAGGGATTAAACTGAGAACGTGCCTGCAATGTGAGGCAAAAAGCCATTATTTTGAATATCCCAGCCCTTAGGCCAACAGCTAGCACATTATTATTTCTAACAATGAATTAACTAAAGATATCAAAGTATCCAACCCTTTTTCTTTGTGAAGGGTCATTACTTATCCCCACTAATTGCTTAATTGCTTTTCAGCTCTAAATACTAATTAAACCAGCAAATAATTTTGCTTTCTAAGACGACAGGAATGCACTCTACGCTTCCATTTTTCAATACAAAAATGTACTGAATGTCTGTTCAGTAACTAGGATAGTTATCTGACATTTTCTTTATATCTGCTCAATACTTCAAACTCTCTATTTAACTATGGGTGTGAATTTGTTCCATTAACATCTGAAGAAAGAACATATGTGAGACAGAATGGAAAAGGTCAACTACTTTTTCATCCTTCAACATTAGACAGGAGTGAACTACACATTGACCTAACTCCAGTGTTTTACCTGTAGGAACAAAGAATCACTATGGCTAAAATTAAGAGAGATTCACAGTCAAGGTTCTTCGTGCTACCCAAAACCAAACCAGCCAAGATAGTATTACTCAGTTAGCTTCAGTGATAGAACAGCCCTACTGCAGATGCAAAGCCTTAGTAGTTAAACCTTCACAGCTCAGAATCATTTGAGGATGCAGAGATGTTCCAATCTGCTTTGCAGAACGCACTCGGATACAGTCAGACCTTCCCTTGTGTTCACTTGTTTCAAGTTTTTTTGTTTCTTTTAACCATTACAAATATTCCCCTTTCTTGTGACTTCTCAGTCAGTTACCAGTGTTTTACACATACTTTCACTGCAGTACTCAGCAAATGCAGGACAACGTGTTGGCTAGTGAATTACAATGCTCATTTATAACACAGTAGCTACATTTGGCTATCTTAATTCCAGTTAGTTATCCATTAAACCAACAGCCACAAGATGAACCATTTGCAGAGATTAAAAAACCCCACTACTTTCCAATGTTCAGCACATCAGTCTATTTTAGTCAGTATTCTGTTATAAAACACGAGAACTTAAGTTGACTTTTAAGCAGCATGTCTTATAACTATATATTTTTCGCAAAAATATAATCTCTGCCTTTCTAAATATCTCTACAGATCTGTGGAAAACAGTGGCTCCAATCAGTAAAGAAAATTCCTTAAAAATATCACATCTAAAAAGACCAATATAATATTCATCTTTGATTGGACCTAAAATTAATGTGCAGTCAAATCTGATTTAAAAAGTCTGACTAAAAAGACACAAGGATTGAAATATTTACATTATACACATTTTCCAAATACAGTGCTATTAGAAAGTGGAATGTTTCAGAATTAAAATATTAACTCAAGCCTCACAGGGCAGCTCCAGACCAGAGCGGCATCTTCATTCTGTGAATTTTTTTTTTTTTTTGAACAGGAGAGATTTCTGTAATATTAAAGGTTTTTCACGTGTAGATTATTTCTCTGCCCAATGATCTGTAGAATTATGTTCCTGAACTACCATCATGTCCCACAAAGTCATTAAGTTAAGTGTTAAATAACATTCATATTTATAACTATGTGACAGCATGGACTGTATATACACACACACACTTAAAATCTTTGATTTCATAAGGGTGATTCTACATAAAAAAGGTGGATTTATGTGTAAAAGTAGTTGCTAGAAAAAATCTATCTAAAGCTTTCGAATTTAGTACAAGGTCTCCATTTCTAGACCACAGAGAAAGGAAACTTTGACAATCTTCAGATCAGTTAAATTGGCTCACAAGCTGATCAGCGTATTTTTTCAGTAATACGCAATTTCACTGGCAAAGGACGCAGCCACTGAAGTCTAGAGCTCACACGTTTATACTAGAACTGGGCAGACCTACACACAATCTCCTTGGAAAGATTACTAGACTGAAGTCTGTTTGTCCCTTGGAATTGCTCTCTCATCGTAGCCAGGTAGAAGGCACCCACTGTGGTTCTGTGTCAAGTTTGTTTATTAACCGAAGTAACTCTTGATACGCCTTATCAAGATCAGAATTCACAATTGCTGTGTCAAAGTAGTGGCCATTGTTCTGTTCCATCTCCCTCGTCTTCTCTATGATTTCTCTCAGCTCTTCTGGCTGCAATCAAAACCAGAGAATTAGTGTATGTAAGTCCCCCCACAACAGACTAGGGAAAGGTAACAACTCTACTCAGAAAAGTCTTTTACACAAGTTTTCATGGTATTGCTACCAGCTATTGAAAAGTTTACAATAACACTGAACCATGATACATATTTGAAAGCTAAGGGCACTCATGACAATCCTTTCTGATTGGCCATAAGTGGCAAACCAGTAGGTAACTGTCCCAGACTGAAGAAAATGAAGAAGACCTAGCACTGCTCATTTTATGACACTTGTCTTGCTGAAGCTGTTACAACATGTTTCTGAAAAAAAAAAAAAATCTGTGTTGCTAAGCCCATTACCCTTCTGAAAAAAGACTGGAGATGGCAGAGACAGCATGAGAGTAAGTTTGAATGGTGTAGAACAACACAACACTCCTCTGAAGATGAAGCACTACAAACACCAAACAGCCAAAAGCAACAGCTGGCATTGAAATATTTTCACCAACAAACAGCAGTGAGAACCACAGTGAGAGCTACACGTTTAAGGCTATCGAATCACCATAGCATCAGGTAAATGACATTGAAGAAAAATGGGGAACATGATTTGGGAGCTGGAAGGGAGTATGTCAAAAGCAACAATATTGCAGATGCAGATAAATGACGCAAATGGAAAAGTAGAAATTGTTTGGTTTACTTCAGAATTTTTTTACACTTGGATTCTAAAAGTGTGTTTGCTTTTCTCTTCTGCAGCTTGTCTTTGTTATACTTATTAATATATATTTTTATTTTATTCAAGTATAATTTCAGCTAATTTTCTACGGAGGGTATTTTCAAAAGGGACTTCAGGAAGAAACACCCTTTATCAGGGGAAGGGGTTTAACACAGTAGCATTTACCCAACCGAAATAAATACAACTCCAATACGATTAATCAGAAAGAAAACAGGCATAGTTTAACACCAATAACAGTATATTAATTTTTATTGCAAATAAATTCCTTGATTACTAAAATAAAAAAGACCAGGACATACATAAGATGAAGTGTTTATGTAAAATTAAGTTTCATTCATTGCATAACCATGAAGGAGGAAACGTGCCCCTTTAAAGACTATGATTATATTTGACTCAGGTAAATTAAAAAAAAAAAAAAAAAAACAAAAAAAGAAAAATCTCTGGTTTAAGACTTGGACTTTTAATGGACTTTTAGATCTTACATCCAGACAATATATCACCCTTGCACCAAACAAGGAGAGCAAAACAACACAGTCGTAAGAACACAGCAAGGTACAATTCCTGACCCAGCCGTATCAGGAGTCCCTTTAAGTTATGCTGGGAAGACTGTTCTTCCTCAGTATGAACTGCATTATGTTCAAATAGTACTCTGAAGATACTGTGGTGGCAAAGTGCTCCCACCAGCCACTGTAGGGTATATTTCAGTTAACAAGCTGAAGGTCAACATATTTCATTATCCTAGCAATAAGCGCTTGGTATCTCATAAACTGACAAGGACCTTTTCTGAGCTTTCAGACATCCTGGTTTAATCTATGGGTTTCAAATCTGTTCTACAGCAGTAACTTCTCATTAACTAAATGATCTGAACTGGATAAGCTGAGATCTTGACATGAGTCTGGTTGAAACATGAGAACTGATCCTATATCTGAAGAGTTCTGGAATACATTTTCAACTAAATGCTTTTCCAAGGGAAGATAAGTTCTCAAAAGACAAACAATAATCCTTTGCTCCCTAGAATTACTTGCGGGTTTATTTGAAGACAAAGTTGGGTTTTCCACAGTTTTGAAATAAAGGTTCGTATTTTTGTACCCAAATGCAGGGAGCACAATTGAGGCACTGTGCCCCAGGATTATTAAATTAGCAGTGGATTCCATTGCCTCATACCTCTCTCAATCC